GTGTAGCAGTCAGGTGTTAGGGATGTAAGTGAGATACTAATGGGCCAAGATGGAAGGAAACAGGGGAAGAAAAAGAGGAGGAGGAGGAAGAGGAGGAGGAGGAGGAGAAGGAGGAGAAAGAGGAGGAGGAGGAGGAGGAGGAGGAGGAGGAGGAGGAGAAGAAGAAGAAGAAGAAGAAGAAGAAGAAGAAGAAGAAGAAGAACAACAACAACAACAACAACAACAACAACAATAACAACAACAACAACAACAACAACAACTTGGGCTATCCAGTGCTATGCAGGAGAGACCTTTCTGGAAGAAAAACCCAAGATCATTGATTGAGACTTGTTCAATCTCTGCCTCTGGTTTTCTTTTCCTTGTCAGCTCAATTTCAGTCCCACACCGTGCCTCTTGCCTTCACACCACTGCTCTTGTTGGAGCAATGAAAACAATGGTTACACAGGATGATTTAACTGGTCGGGAGAACAGTGCCCAAAGGGACCCACCATAAAGAAGACAAGCATTCATGAGTATATTTTGACACAATGTTTTTGGAAACATTTGAAGGCAATTAACTATTGTCCATAAAATAAAAATCATTCCTAAAAGGGAAAAGGAGACACTGGATTTCTTCTTTCACTCACTTTGGGGAGAGGACTGACATTTATAGGACACGTGCCTACCACTCCACGAGGAGCTTTTCCTTCATCATCTCCTCAAATGGCCTGCACTGAATGACAGTCCAACTCTTTATAAGTCTGCACCACCCATCTGACCCCGCCACCGCCAATTCCAGTGAGACCTAGCCACAGAGGCCAATTTTTATTTTTCGGCACACTCCTTGCATGGTCCTTCCATACTGTTGTTCTTACACTTGCCGCTCTCTCAGCTTGGAAGCTCTTGCCTTGGTCTCCAGGCTAATTTCTTCTTTTTGTTTTTGTTTCCCTTTGTGTGTGGAGCGACTCCTAACCTGTGCTCAGCAGGTGCTGGGATCACTCTGGGCCCTAGAGCCAAGTCTACCAGGCCCTGTGGCTCAGTACTTGGGCAGATGATGTGACACTGCTCAACCCCAGCACTGCCACAGGCTGCCATTCTGGTGGTGTTTGGGGGGTCCCCCACGGGGGTCCCGGTCCTTGCACTGCCAGGTGTGTGTCTTGAACCCTGAACTATTTCCCCATGAGAGCTATTTCCTCACATCTGATTTCTTCTCATCTCTGCTTCTCTCTCTCTTCTTCTTCAGCACCTTCCTTCTTTTCTCCATTGTGTTTCTACTAGCTGCAAAGATCTTTTTGGAGGAGACAGAGCAAAAAAAATTTTTTTTGCTTTGTCTCCTCCCACAAGATTTTTTCCACCCTTTGCACTTGGTTCATTGCCCTGGTGCAAGCATTTTGTAAAAGTATTGGCCCAAGGAGATGCTCAGTACTGCTTATTGGAAGAATGGAGAGGGAACGAACTCTCGAGCTTATTGCACAGAGCCATAGGATTTTCCATGTCCTTGATCATTACTTACTTAGGTCACAGTCTTCCCATTGTTCATCGATTTGCTCGAGCGGGCCCAGTAACGTCTCCATCATGAGACTTATTGTTACTGTGTTTGGCATATTGAATACATCACGGGGAGCTTGCCAGGCTCTGCCGTGCGGGCGAGATACTCTCGGTAGCTTGCCGGGCTCTCCGAGAGGGGTGGAGGAATCGAACTCGGGTCGGCCATGTTGGCCGCTTGTAAGGCAAACGCCCTACCACTGTGCTATCGCTCTAGCCTATTACCTACTTAAAATTATTTTATTTTATTTGACTATGCCCTATCTTCCCCTCTCTTTGCTGTTGTGACAAGGAGTCACACATACATTTGGTGGCACTATTGAGTTGTGGGATTTACTCCTCTTCTGACCGTAGTGCTCCTCAGGGCCCATACCCCGGTGACCTGTACAGTTGGAGTTAGGGTGCTTTCTGGAGAATCTCGTACTATGCTGCAATGCAGGGGGTTACAGAGCAGAGCTATGGGGACCATATCTGGAGTCGGTGGCACTTGGATAGAACTCTAGTCCTCCTCACTTTTATAAGGCAGGGCCTTTGGCCGCTAAGCCATTACTAGACCCCAGTGTTCATGTCCTTTAGCCAGACACCATCAGGAACATCATGGTCCTTGAACCTATTGGTGTTTATTGCTCATGGCAGTGAAAGAGAATGCAGATTGCGGGGCACCATGAGCTCCCCCAGGAACAGGGTGCTTAGAAGGGGATGTCCATTCTAAAGGCCTAGACTTTCTTGCTGGTGACTTGGACAGGGTGAAGGAACAAGGCTTCTTTTTCTCCTCTGGATGTTGTCAGGAAGCAAGCCAATTTCTTGATGGAATCTTTTGACTGCTTTTCATCTCTAAAGCATGAAGACGGGGATGAGGTTAAAAATGTAACTGAAAAGCAGGTGTTCCGGTGTGAGGTCTGGTGTTGGACGATGCATCCCTGAAACGATCAGTAACAGTACTATAAAGTACTATAACTGGTACCTCAATAAGAGTGTTGAGAAAAGAATTTAACTCATCAAAAAGTAACAATCATTCTGAATTTGATGGATTGGGTAGCACTTGGTGGTTTTGTGATTTGCGAGTAAACTTGATTTTGTAAAACTTGGGTCAAGCTTTGAAAGAACCTTATTTTTGGAATCAGTCATCCCCTGGGTGTTAGAAAATACCCTGGATGTGCAGTAGAACACCAAGACTTAGCTGTGTCAGGTTTGATTTAGACGTCAGAGTTTCCTTTTTGCAAGGGTCCTAAACTGGAGGACAATGTCACACAGCACAGTGAGAAGCAAGAGGGTTTTTTTTTTTTTGTGGGGAGGGGTGGTCAGGACACAACTATTCCTGGCTCTGTGTCACTCCTGGTGGCATGTGTGTGGGGGATCATAAAACGTGCTAAGCATTGAACTGAGGTTGGCTGTGTTCAAGGCAAGCACTCCACTGACTCAAGCAAGTTTATTTCTCTTGCACTTTTGATACTATTTCTTTTCTCTGGCTTTGTAACAAGAAAGCCCCTCAAGGATGATAATGAAAGCCAAGGCAGAGAAGTCCTTTAAGAAGTGAAACAAATAAGTGTCCCTGTGAGCTCAATATTTATGTCAGCACACATTCAGGGATACTTAATTTTCAAGTGGAGCATGATGCATCTTTTGCATTTTGAGTGAAAAGACTACTCAGCCCTCACCATTGCCTCCAAGGTTATGTTCAACAGCCTAGCGGGACCTGGTTCCAGCTCAAGGTTTTCTCTATAGACAATGATAAGGTTTTGGCAAAACCTCCCACGAGTTCCCCAGCATCCTCTGAGCTCCTGAGTGCCCTGACTTCTCCTTCAGCACCGTTGCTATGTTGTCATTATTTACACTAGGCCTGTTGAAATGGATGTTTCCCACATTTTTATATCGCTGGAATTTTTGTTTGTTTGTTTTCTGGGGGTGCCATACCCGGTGGTACTCAGTGATCACTCCTGGTGGGGATTGGTGGGACCATATGGAGTACTGGGAATAGAACCTGGGTCAGCCCCGTACAAAGCAAAGCCCCATACCTTCTGCACTATTTCTTTCTCTTCCTCTCCCTGGAACGTTTTAACAGAAGACCTGGCGCAAGCTAAGCTCTCTATAAATATTAAATGGATTTAAAACAGATTTAATTCTTGGTTTGAACTTATATTACAGAACATTCACTGAGTCTGTATTATGAGCCAGGAGATAAATCTGATAAATCACATAGTTATTAGGGGATTTGGTATTCATTTGCAACAGATTTGAGGAGGAAGTGGAGTAGGAGGAAAGTAGCTGGCAATAGTGTAGGATCAGACCCTACATAAGTTGCTCTATGTCTCTGAATTATTATCGTCATGTTATAGTGCCACCAAGGTAGCAGTGATGGGTTAAATAAGCTTGCCAAATTCACAAGCTAAGGCATTACCCTTGTCCAACTATTAGGTTGGAAGAGGTCCCGTAAAATCACAACTCTGGGGCTGGAGCAGGCGGATTGCATGCAGAAACTCTCAGCGTCATCCCTGGCACTGTATGATCTCCCATGTATGGCTGGGAGCAACCCCTGGGCAGTGAGCTGGAGAGTAAGAAGCCCCTGTCCATGGCAGGCTGTGGTCCCCAAGACAATAGCAAGGAAAGAGTTACTGTACAGGGTTTAAGGAACTTGTCTTGCACATGACCAGCCCTGACTTGGTCCTGGCTCTGCATATGGACACTGACAGGAGCGATCCCTAAGCACAGAAACAGGTGTGGCCCCAGGCACCCCCTCCAAATTAAAAAATAAAACCAAATCACATCTCTGTCACTGAAACAGAGCGGAGCGCCTAGCTCCAGATTAAGAAAACTTGCAGCATACGTTTATTTTATTAAATTAATTTTTTTTTCTTGAATCACCATGAGCTCCACAGTTCCAAAGTTGTTCACCATTGGGTTTCAGTCATACGATGTTCCAACCACCAACAAACACTTAGCATAAGGAGCCGTCAGTGAACGTGCCTGGGGAAGGCTTTAAGCTCTTGATAGTGGCTGCGACAGGAGAGCAGAGCCGCATCCCTAAAGAAGCACAAAGGGACTTCGCGCCAGACCAGAGCAGCGCGCAGTCGGCGGCAACGCCGCGCCCACCGCGGACCCTGTTAGGGCCCCCGCTCCGCCCACTCCATCCGACCTCCTGCAGTTGAAGGCAAAGAGGGCAAAGAAAAAGGCCTGGAGGTTGTGCGGGGCGGACGGGTGGGACCCCTTCGCCCCACCCGCATCCCGCCACGCCCCTGGTCCAGGCCCGCGCCCCCAAACCCACTTTGAATTCCCGCCCCCTCTGACTGGCGCCCAATGGTCGGCCGGGGAAGCCGCAGGAGGCCTCGGATTGGCCGGCGCCGCGGTTGCCGGGGTGACGGGCGGGCCCTCCGGGGTCCCCGCACCGGGCGGGGGGCTCAGGGAGGCCGGCGGCCTTTCCGCCCGGACCCGCGCGGGGCCCGCGCGCCCCGGCCGGCGCCTCCCGGCAGCGCGCGAGGCCGGTCCCCTCGCGCCCCCCACCGGCCCGGCCCCGCGCGCCCCCCGCCCGCCCGCAGCCAAGTCGGGGCGCGCCGCCCTCCGCCGCCTCCGCCTCCGTCTCCGCCCCCACGGCGCGGCCGCCAGCTCGGAGCGCGGCTGCCCCGGCCGGCGGCGGCGCGATGGGCTGCGGGAACTCCACGGCCACCAACGCGGGCGCGGGCCGAGGTGAGCGCGGGGACGCGGGGGGCGCAGGCCGAGGGGAGCGCGGGACTCGGGGAGCGGGGGGTCGTGGGCCGAGGGGACCGCGGGGGGCGCGGGGGCACGGGGGGGCGCGGGCCGAGGGGATCGCGGGGGGCGCGGGGACACGGGGGGCGCACGGGGAACGCGGGCCGAGGTGGGCGCGGGTTGCACGCGGGGAGCGCGCGGGGCTCGGGCAGAAGTGGGCGCGGGGGGGCTCGAGGCGCGCGGGCCGAGGGGATCGCGGGGGTCGCGGGGTGCGCGGGCCGAGGGGAGCGCGGGGGTCGCGGGGTGCGCGGGTCGAGGGGAGCGCTGGGCGCGCGGGGCGCGGGGGGCGCGGGACGCGGAGGGCGCGGGGGCGCAGCGCACCGAGCCGGGGAGACCCGCGGCGGGACGGAGCGGGCTCCGGGGGCGTCCAGGCTGGGCGCCCCTTCTTCTCCTCCTCCCCATCCCTCCCCAGCCGGGTTTTTCCCGCCGGCAGCCCCGGGGGCAGCCCCGAGGCGCGGGGTGGGGGGGTGTTGGTGCTTCCCCGGGCGGGGGCGGGCGCGGCTGGAGCGGAGACTGCGGGGCGCTCCTGTGCGGGGCGCCCGGGGAGAACCGGCGGCGGGGCTTCCCCTGCAGGCGGCGGGCTGGAAGGGGGGCCGGTGGTGTTCCGAGTCGTGACCCGCCCTGCGGGCGCTCCTCTCGCTCCCCCACCCCCACCCACGCTCTCCTCCCCGTACGCCTGGAGACCCCTCCTCCCCTTCCCCAGCCCCGCAGTGGCGCGGGTAAAAGTGCCCCAGCCCAGGGCATCTAGACTTTTTTTGTCCCCTTTGTATTTTGCGGGGTTTGGTGGTGCTGGCAAGGAGGCAGTGTGTTAGGGAACGCGGAGACTCTTCTGCCGGCCTCTCCGGATCCCCCCGGTGCCCACTGCTAGGACGGGCTCGGCCGCCCCTCCTTGCCCCGCGAAGCTGCAGTATGTATAGACGGATGCTTTTAGGGACGCGCGACAGCTCTGATGCCGACAGCGGTCTGGCGGGGGAATTTTTTTTTTTCCTCATGAAACCCCAAGACATGTGTAAATTCCGTCGCCCACTTCACTTGGCTGATTGGCAGGCGAGTTTTCAGGAGTCAGCCCCGGTGTGTGTCCTGTGGTGTCTCTTACTACCTCACCCACCCCTCGCGCCTGGTACCCAGCCATGGTCTCTGCTGCTTTGAGTAGTTTGGGCTGAGCGCTTTCCGTGTCTCTGGGGAGCCGAATCTCTTCGTTGTTGTCTCCTCCATCTGAGATCAGATGGTCACGTCCCATCTCGACACCCCTCCGCAGATGCCGCTGCGGTCCTGATGCAGCAATTTCTCTAGGAGGGCTCCTGGACCCTTGCAATGACTTTGCAACCTCAGACGAGTCACTTCCCTGACCTCAGACCTGGGTGGAAGATGGTAGTTTTAAGATAAAATATTATATGCGAATATTAAACTTTTTTTGGGGGGTGGGTGCACATCTGGTGGTGCTCAGGGCTTACTCCTGGCTCTGTGCTCAGGGACCACATGGGGGTGCCAGGGATCGAGCCTGGGTCTGCTGCTGTGTGGGGCAGGCACCTTCCTCACTTACTGTTTCTCCAGCTCTGGTCATACTAAATTTTATTTTGAGGTTCCCAGAATGGCATCAGAATCTTTCTGCCAATTCCTTTTGGGACAGGTTTCTCTTTCCTCTTGATCCGGGAACATGTCCATGTGGAATATTCTGTTTTTAGGGAAGGTCCCAGGGGCCAGCAAGATAGAATAGTGTGTGGGGTGCTTGCCCTGTATGTACCCTGGTTCCATGCTGGCATTGCATTGGTTCTTTTGAGCAGCACCAGGAGTGGTCCCCAAGGGCTGCCCAATGCCCCAACCATGCTGAAGAAACCCCCACTCCCCCAAGCCCCCAAACCAAAGAGCATGGGGCTGGAGCGATAGCACAGGGGGTAGGATGTTTGCCTTACACGCAGCCGACATGCAGCTGGGTTCGATTCCCAGCATCCCATATGGTCCCCTGAGCACCGCAAGGGGGTAATTCCTGAGTGCAGAGCCAGGAGTGACCCCTGTGCATCGCCAGGTGTGACCCCAAAAAGCAAAAAAAAAAAAAAGAGCATGCTATGAGAGAGCCCAGGTCACAGCTTAGTGAAGTCAATCTCTGGGTCTCTGGAGACGGCACTTGGGACTGGAGCCCATGCTAGCACTCAGGGGGCCGGAGCTTCATCTTGGCACTGCATAGGCCCCCTTACCCCCCAGCACCAAGGCCTGGAAGGCCCCTGAGAACCCCCACTTGTTGCTTTGGTTTTCCCCAGTAATGCTGGGGGTGCCTCTTTGAATCACTGAGCTGTCCAAATACAGTGGGACAGGGCGGGGGGGGGGGGGCACCTGTCTATTCATTCCTCCACCACCCCCCCCCCATAAGTTTACATCTTTGCATCCTTATGATATGCAGAGCACCAGCTGGGAAGAAATCTTAACAAAGATTAGAGGGAGACAGGGTTAGTTGGCTTAAAAGGTAGTGTCCTTTGGTAACCAGGCAAGGAGGGAGGCCAAGCCAAGAGAGCAGTCAGAGCCATCAGAAGCCTGAAAACTGGGACGCATGTACAGACCTCATCCTGCACCATGGACAGTGTCACCTGTGCCCTGTGCTGGGGGCTGCCTGTTCATCTGTCCTAAAGGCTGGTGTGTGTGTGTGTGTGTGTGTGTGTGTGTGTGTGTGTGTGTCTGGGGGGGAGGGGTGTACGATGGGCTGGAAACTGGAATTTGTTTCTCATCACTGTATGGTTCCCCCAAGCACTGCTGGGAGTGGCAACCAAATACTGAGCTGTACCCACAGGTTGTGATCCTCCCCTCCCCCCTCCCCCCACCAATATGGGGGGTTGCAGTTAGGACAGAGAAGTGACCACTATGACAATGATCATTGGAAATGATCACTCTGGACAAGAATAGCTTGTTCAAAGGAGGTCAAGTGATATGCCTGATAATCCTTCAGTAACAGTGTTGTAAATCACAGTGCCTAAAAGGGGGGTGGAGAGAGAGAGAGAGAGAGAGAGAGAGAGAGAGAGAGAGAGAGAGAGAGAGAGAGAGAGCCTGCGAGCCTGCGAGCCTGCGAGCCTGCTGTAGAGGCAGGTTAGAAGGGGGACGGGAGGGGAATATGCACTGGTGAAGGGATGGGTGTTGGACCATTGTATGACTGAAACCCAGTCGCGAACAACTTTGTAGCTGTGTATCTCACCAAGGTGATTCAATAAAAAAAGAGGGAGGGGAATGGATCTGGGGAGATCTGAAGGCCACAGCAAAAGCTTTATGTGTGGGAGCCTCGGTGCGCTCCAGAGACTGCATGACTCTCCCCTCCCCGCACCCCCACCGCACCACTGGGAGTCTCAACCCAGGAGCATGCCAGAGGGAGCCCCTAGACCACTGTCTCCCCCGCCCCCACCCCACCAAATAAAAGGCTGGGAACAGTGAGCAATGATTCACGTTTTGATTTTGGTGGTTTTATTATTATTATTATTAGTATTATTATTATATTTTTAAGTAGACCTGAATTCATGTGTGAGGTCCTGGGTTCGATCCCTGGCACTGCACAATAAGGATGAGAGAGGGGGAAATGAGATTGAGGTGGGAGAGAAAAGAGAAAAGAGAAGCAGGAGAAAGGAAAGACAGGCAGGAGAGAAGATAGAGAGGAGAGAGTGAGGGAAAGAGAGGGAGAAGGAGGCGGGGAGGGAGAAGGAGGGAGGAAGGGGGGGGGGATCATAAGTTTAGGGCCAGAGCACCACAATGATGAGAGACCAGTAGCTCTGAGACATCACTTTAGAAAAGCATAATTCTCATTTCATATATGTGGCTGACTCTCCTTCACCGCCCCCCCCAACACCCTCCAGCTACCTCCAGCCTCTCCCCCCTTTCGTGCACATCACACACACACACACACACACACACACACGCACGTGCACACACACACACACCCTGCTTACATTAAGGGCTGAGTAGTTGTATTGAAAACCCCATTCTCGGCTCCTGCTCTCTGGATGAGAGGCTTCGCTTTTGTTTTTGAAGGACAGTCATGTAAAAGCATGTCATTCCCCCTTCCAGCCTGCTCTTTGCTCAAAATGACTTCATGTTCAGGGAAATGTGCAGGGAAAAGTAAGCGCGTGCGCATGCAGATAGCACGCCGAGGAGAGGGGCCATGCCCGGCAGGATGGACGCCTGGCCTCGTTGATGGCATGGCCCTCGTCTTGGAGAGTCATCCCCCAAATATTTCCTTGTTGGTGAGTCCAGCTGGCTGGCTTAGGGGTTTGGTCATTGTTATTTTGAAATTATCTGTCAGCTGGTGGGAGGACTTGTGTTTCAGAAAGGAAATGCATCAGGATGAGAAATGCAAGGTTGAGAAAAAAAATAAACCATCACACAAAGGTGCTTAGATTCCTCTCAGTTGTACTTTGAGTCAGCATGATCATGCTTCGGATCGGGCTAGGGAGATGGCAGGAAGGGCTCAAGCATCTGCGTGGCAGAGAGAGCGTCCACAGTGTGGCACTGGGTGTGTCCCTAAACCAAAGACCAAACAGAACGCCTGGATCAAGCTTCATGCTCGTGTTGTTGAAACCAAGCAGTATGGACTGTGTCCAAGAGATGAATAGATGTTTCTGTCCTCCAGGTTACTTACCACGTACAGCTTTTGAAATGTCCCAGGAGTCATATAATTCAGTAACCTTATTTAAGCTTTTAGCAAAACAAAACAGATAAACCATAAACAAAACAAAACTCCACTAGGAAAGGTGATGGTACTGAATGTAGGAACTAGAGGTTGGGGCATCAGTTAGACTTGGCTGTAATACTGGGTGCCGTACTGGGAACCTTTGATTTCACTTTTCTTATAATCTTGGTCTCCATTGGAAGTCCCTAGTTTATTCTCAAGTAATTCAGGCAAAACCTGGTAATTATTTCTCCTTTCCCTGAGCTATCTGGATCATGGCCTCTTTTGGATTTTGTCT